ATGAAAGTCCTGCTAAACGTGACCATCAGAAGTGCTACATATCCAAACTGATGGTGGAGCAAACCAGCTTTAGCATAAATTCTGGCTTATTTATGAAACAAACTCAAATGTAGAAAATTAAAGTTGTGTCATCGCTGCTTTCAGACTCGCCATCAGCTCATGCTCAAACTGTTTCTTTAAGGTGATCTTTTTTAATCCTCAACTTCTCAGATCCCTCATTTAATCTTAATAAATTCAGTTCTTCTGGCAGCACGGTGGCTCAGTTAGTAGAGCTGTTGCCTCTTAGCGAGAAGGTCGCCGGATCAAATTCCATCAAGGGTCTTTCTGGGTGGAGTTTGCATGTTCTCTCTGTGCATGTGTGGGTTTCCTCCCACAGACCAAAAACATGCACGTTAGACTGATTGGTAACTCTAAATTGTCTCTAGGTGAGTGAGAGAGTGAATGGTTGTTTGACTCGTTTGTCTCTGTGTCCCAGTGATGGACTGGAGACCTGCCCAGGTTGTCCCCCGTCTCTTGCAGTGACTACTGGATATGGGCACCAGTGACCCCCACAACCAGAAAAGGAAGGAGTGGGTAAAGATAATGGACATAAATTCTGTTCTGCAGACACAAACCGACACCAACATGAACAGACACACAAATACAATTACATGATGACCTGCCTTTTATGATTGCAGGCCATAAATATGAAGCATAAACACTTGAACCCCCACCCCAACCAGTTTCTATTGTCCAACACCTGACGGCTGTTCAGACTGTCCAAAGCACATCACTCTCACCTGAAACACAACCAGGCTGCGGTCACATTCCTCAGTTACAGTGAATCAGTTCTTCCTGCTTCAGTAGTTTGAACAGCAGGTTTTCACATAGTTTCATATGAACCACTGACTTTTGTCTTTTGATAACCATCATGGTTATATTGACTTAAGAATCTGGTCCATCTTTGTTGTAAATATTTTTGAGTATGACTCAGCTTTTGACCCTTTTTATGAACTCTTTACGTTACGTTGCACTGGATTTTTTTAAACAGCGCAGCCATGCACATACAGGCTGATCTATTGTCTTATCTACCAATGATGCTGGACAAGAACTGAAGGCCCCTCAAACATTAATCATATGGTGCCATGAAAGTGCACTTTTTGGTTTTACATGTCGACAGGTGTACTTTGTCTCAGTTGTGTAAGACAGATTTTTACTTTATAAACAAAAGACAGAAAGACTGAACTGGGACATTTGTTGGACACTGGAACAATTTGACATGTTGGACCATCTGGTAACAGAGATCTCCTCCAAGAAGACAAACTCCAATATTATGTTTTCTTCATCTTTCTGACGTCGATCAGATAAAATCAACATAACACTGTTCTTAAAAACAGGCAAAGTCTTCCCAGGTAAACATGTTTTCAGAACGTCAGTAGATTCTCAGACTAAGATTTCACTGGAGTTTAGAACATCGACTTTAAGCTGTAGTCAGACATTTTCATGAGTGAATGTAATATGAATATATTTATTTTAACTGTTCTGTTCTATGGCAGAATGCACCACACATATTCAATGATTGTCACAAATAATTGAGTGGACAACTGAGTTTATTGTGGATTTTTATAATCCGCACAGGTTCAGATATGTACATGTGGCCCATCACAATTTGGTTAAACAACTGTTCTGTGCCTGTTGATATGCAATTCACCCAGCACACGCTTTTTATAACCATCAACAACATTCTGGCATGATTCAGGGCTGACCTCGGCAACCTCACATCTTGGCAGAATTTAAATTAGTTGGGTTTGTGGTACAGACCCAGCCTTCGAATAAAGTTCACAACTTTTCACCAGAGCTCAGCTCAGAGCTTTAGGAAGGCCTTCCCAGCAGCTTAGCGTGAGCCTGCTTTATCCAGTCAGAAACCACTTCTGGTGTGTTTGGGATCATTGTCCTGTTGGCTCAGTTGTGTCCAAGTTTCAAACATCTACCTGGTAACCTGAGGTGAAGTTGAAGAGTTTAAAAGCAGTTCTTCTTCATATGGGCTTGCCCTTTAAGCCATGCTTTTGGGTCTCACCCCGCGCGCAGCGTGCAACATTGGGAAAAAAAAAACAAAAAAAACTCTAGTCCATGCCCACCCACTGCATGGGCCCCACCTGTAGACCGCTTAAATACAGGTGCTGGTCATAAAATTAGAAGATCATGAAAAAGTTGATTTATTTCAGTAATTCCATTCAAAAAGTGAAACTTGTATATTAATATTCATTCATTGCACACAGACTGATATATTTCAAATGTTTATTTCTTTTAATGTTGATGATTATAACTGACAACTAATGAAAACCCCAAATTCAGTATCTCAGTAAATTAGAATATTGTGAAAAGGTTCAATATTGAAGACACCTGGTGCCACACTCTAATCAGCTAATTAATTCAAAACACCTGCAAAAGCATTTAAATGGTCTCTCAGTCAAGTTCTGTAGGCTACACAATCATGGTGAAGACTGCTGACTTGACAGTTGTCCAACAGACGACCACTGATACCTTGCACAAGGAGGGCAAGGTACAAAAGTCATTGCTAAATGGCTGGCCGTTCATAGAGCTCTGTGTCCAAGCACATTAATAGAGCGGTGAAAGGAAGGAAACGATGTGGTAGAAAAAAGTGTACAAGCAATAAGGATAACCGCATCCTGGAGAGGAGTGAAACAAAACCCATTCCAAAATGTGGGGGAGATTCACAAAGAGTGGACTGCAGCTGGAGTCAGTGCTTCAAGAACCACCACACACAGATGTATGCAAGACGAGGGGTTCAGCTGCCGCATTCCTTGTGTCAAGCCACTCTTACACAAGAGACGTCAGAAGCTTCTCATCTGGGACTGCTGCTGAATGGTTCAAAGTTACGTTCTCTGATGAAAGTACATTGTGCATTTATTTTGGAAATCAAGGTCCCAGAGTCTGGAGGAAGAGAGGAGAGCCACAGCATCCATGTTGCTTGAGGTCCAGTTAGGGCTGGGCCATATCATATCGTTCACGATAATACCGGTAAAAAAAGCTTGTCTGGGAAAAAAATTAATAAATCATGATATGCTAATTGCATGGCGTAATACGTCAGGGCACCCTGTCCCCTTAACAGAACCGAGCGCGCCGAACGACCAGACCGAATTGCACACCCCTCTTCACCTGTCGGTACTGGTGTAACATTAATTAGTTGTGCACAATACTAGCTAGCTAAAAAGCTAAAAACAAACAACACGCGGTTCAGCTGTCTCTCCATCCAGCGCTAAACTGCAGGTACAGACAACTTGAGCTGCCTCTCGCTCCCCCCACACCCCACTCTGAGCTGCCAGTACAAACACGCGCAGGTCTGTCTTAGTTCCACAGTCCATGGACCAAGAACAGAGTCACGTGATCAGAGACTGAGCATCAGAGAAATTAATCATTCCTGCATGAACAGAGGAAGCTGAAACACCACAAGCTTCAGGGTCAGATGAAACACCTTGTTACAAGTTCTGGAAGTTATAGCTTACAGTTATGACCAGCATCTGTAGTGTATGGGTCCGCAGATCAAAAACTGTGGCTTAAAGGGCTGCGCTCATACTCAGAATCTGTGGTTACAGAACGTAACCAGTGTTCTTTTCTGTTCTACTTTGAGCAAAGCACAAGCACCACAGCATGATGCTACCACCATAATGCTGCCAGTGTTCATAGGGTTGAAAGCTTCACTTCCACTCCTCCAAACATAAGAAAGAAAAAAACCAACTTGCTGCAATCCATCTTGATGACCAATGCAGAGTTGAGTTGTGCCTCGTCAAGACTTTCTAGTCTTCATGTATTTAAAGATTTAGGTCAGTGCTTGTAAACCGTATGTATAATTTTTGAACTGTTAAAAAGTTAAATCAAACAATGAGGCGCAAAATTACAAAGATTTTAATCTCCACGATTGCAGTATCTAAACTCATCACAACTGAATGATCTACCCAACTTTATCAACACAAACCTAATTATATTTCATTATTTTATTTTCCAAACTTTACAGTTGTAGAAGATGCATCAAAAATTAAAATATAGAAAAACTTTTCTATTCTCTCAGCTAATTTTGATCAAGCACAAAACTGAAGGTTCAGACAGCAGACCTTGTCCTGGAGAACATTCTGCTGAAAACTTTAATCCAAGCAACAGCGCCCTCTTCTGGCAAAAAAAAAAGAAAAAAAAAAGCACAAAACTAAAATTGGAAACAAACATTTACATGCTCAAGAGTTCACTATAAGAATGTTTTATATTTACATTCATTTACCAGCTTAAAAATTTACCAACCACAGATCAGTTTAATCATGTCTATTGGTGCTCAGTAAGCTTCATGAAAAAACTGTAGACTGAAAAAACACAAAAATTCTGTGATGAGCCACTTCTGTCACATCTGAGGGATGTTAGAAATTAACTTGCTGTGTCAACATCACTGCATGTTCTCATACAATGATGAAATTTGTTCACTGCATTTAACCCATCACACTGGGATGCACCCAGGTGGAGCAGTGGGCAGCTATGTGGGCGCCCGGGGAGCAATTAGGGATTGGGCGTCTTGCTCAGACAACATGACGTGAGAATGACTGGGAGTCGAACCTGGGACTTTGGGGTCCTGGGTCGGCTGCCCTGCCTCTACCCTATCGTGTGAATTGGTATAGTAGCTGCAATGGCACCCTTCAAAACTTCTTCAGAAACTGTCCATTTTATTCTTCCTACTTTAAATCACTTGATGGTGCAGCTGTAAATGTAGAGAAGGAAAAGATGCGACTGAGCATACTCATATTTACCATATGTAGCATTACAGATGTGCTTTAATCTGTTGGAATTAAAACTGAAAACATCTTATGAAAGTCTTTATTGACAAAAAGACGAGGACACAAACAAAAGTTCAACGTAAGAACATAAATCAGAAATGGTGGAATATTAAAGATACAAGTCATTAAAGATGTAGAAAAGTCAGCACTGAAAACAAATATATGATGAAGTTGTGACAAAAACTAACATCTGGATATTTTCGTCTGTTTCTTCTGGCGGAGAGGAGACTCAACGTTCCACTGCCTCGGTCCAGGAGACCTGAAAAACACCACAGCCAGAAGTTAAAGGAAAGAAAGAGAAAAACAGAAACTAAATGATGATACTTTGAAAGCAAATAAGAAAAGATGATTACCAGATATGTTTTCACACATTAATCCAAAATGTCAAAAGACAGACACAAAGAAAAAAGATAAACTCATGGACTACCTGGACCTTTGTTATAATTTTAAGATTATGTTATAATTTGAAATAAAAGACATTTAACCATTTACAAATTGTCTTAAAAATAATGTAACATGAGGAGGAACAGTCAAACAATGAACTACAGGAACCATTTAAAATCACAGCTTGTTGCCTCTGGACTTGAACCTGCAACCTTCCAGTTTAAAATGATACTATTTATCCCATCCATCATCACACTGGGTGCAGTTTCTTTAAGTACAGTTTCATTTGTGGTCAAAACAGTGTTCAGGTTGTTTCAAACACATTTAAGAGCAGTGGAGAAATTTAACTCATTGGGGACTGCCAAAGAACGACCAGTTCAACTCAGTAGGACAGAAGTAAGGTTCTTACTGTTCTTTAGACCTCACGCTTTGACCACTGGTGTCTACTGCTGTGAACACACACACAAAAGTATATTAGTCACTTAACTGGTGTAGAAAAGCTTCCCAACAACAAGGTTTTAATCCTACGATGTCCAGATTAGGGATCAAATCTTACTTGTTTCTTGTTCGCTGAGGATTGTACTGAAGCCGTCGTTAAATGTTAAGCTTATGTTGAAACCTGGACATGAAGGAGAAGGAACGTTTATTCTGTTTGTTTAGTTCTCCACTGTTCATACAGAACGACTAAAGATGAAACTGAGCTGCAAACTCAGGAAAATACACATTTATCCAAATGTTTAACTGAAGTTTCATAGAGTGACTTCATGCGTTTGGTCAGATTTTAAAAATGAACAGATTTACAAACAGAAACCATGTTTAAGAGACAAAAGCTACATTTGAATTTGACATTGAAGAATTCTTGGACTGAGGGAGAGGTGCCTCATGTTGCTGAGTGTTTGTTAATCACAGTTTGATCTGAATCTCAGACGAGTGTTCAGGTTTGGAGGGGCACACCTACCTTTCGGTGTGCTGAAGGCTCTGTCATTAGCTGCCCCCTTTACAATAACTGCAAATAAAAACAAAATAAAAAAACTCATGCATGATAGGACATCACTCCAGCTCTGATGATGCATGAAATCAAAATAAATCACTAAAACCAAGAAAATTATACTTTGAAATCATCCATACAGTGTTTAACCTAGATTACTGGCCTTGATGGGGTGCTTGTTGGAGACAAAAAAATCTGGTTTTATCAGAAATGAAAATTAAACAAGAGAAGCTGTATGTTCTACAAAAATGCAGCGTGAATGTTAAATGCTGAACATCCTAGCTGAAATCTGCAGAAGCTGAAACTAAGTTGTTAAAGCTAAAAAGTAGCAAAATGCCTAAAAGAAAAATAAAACGCTGAAAGCCTAAGCAACAAACGGCTAAGTAAAAATCAAAAGTAGAAAAAACTCCTCCTTGAATGGCCACCTTATCGTGGTGGAGGAGTTTGTACGCCTGAATGATCGGAGCTCTGCTGTCGGGGGCAGTTGTAATTACCCCTGGTGGGGTCTGCCAAGGCAGATTGGTTCTAGGTGACAGGCCAGACAAAGAGTGATTCGAGGAACAAGGAACTCCATGTCCCTTGCCCGTGGGTTACCGGGGCCCCACCCTGGAGCCAGGCCTGGGGGAGGAGTTTGTCGGCGAGCACCTGGTGGTCGGGTCTCTACCCATGGGGCTCGGTCAAGCTCAGCCCGAATACCTTCCTGTGGACCCACCACCTGCAGGAGGAGTCATATGAGTCGGGTGCATGAATCCATTGGCAGTGGCTGAAGGTGGGGGCCTTGGCACTCTGACCCCGTTTTACCAAAGCTGGCTCTTCGCACATGGAATGTGACCTCTGGTGGGGAAGGAGCCTGAGCTTGTGCTTGAGGTTGAGAGGTACCGACTAGATATAATTGGGCTCACCTCGACGCACAGCATGGACTCCGGAACCGATCTCCTTGAGAGGGGCTGGACTTCATTCCATTCTGGAGTTGTCCATGGTGAGAGATGCCAAGCTGGTGTGGGTCTATGTTTAGCCCCCCGACTTGGTGCCTGACTGTGTGTTGGAGTTTTCCCTGGTGGATGAGAGGGTGGCTTCCCTGTGCCTTTGGGTAGGGGATGGGCTCCGACTGTTGTTTGTGCCTACGCGCCAAACAGCAGTTCAGAGTATCCGGCCTTCTTGGACTCATTGGCAGGGGTGCTGGAAGGTGCACCAGTTTGGGACTCCTTTATTCTGCTGGGGGACTTCAATGTCCATGTGGGTAATGACAGTGTGACCTCGAGAAACGTGATTGGGAGGAACCACCTCTCTGATCTGAACCAAAGTGTTGTTCTGTTGTTGGACTTCTGTGCTAGTCAGTTTGTCCATCACAAACACCATGTTGAACATAAGGGTCTCCATAAGAGCACTTGGCACCAGGACGTCCTAGGTCGTAGATCGATGATCAACTTCATAGTCGTGTCATCTGATTTGCAGCCGTTTGTTTGGACACTCGGGTGAAGAGAGGAGCTAAGCTGTTAACTGATCACCACCTAGTAGTGAGTTGGATCAGATGTCGGGGGAGATCAAGTTCAAGTCTCTTTATTGTCATTTGCATCACATTTGGTACATGAGGTGGAACAAAATTGTGTACTCGGGGTCTCAGTTACACCCTAACATAGCAAAATTATACAGTATAAAAAGGATTGAAGATACTGTATATAGTAAGATATACGCTAAACACTAATGATGTAAAATAATATGTTGTATTAAACAGCAGCCTGAACATGAGTCTGTGGTGAGTAGATGGGCACAACTACAGCAAGATAAGTTGCATATCACCAATTAAAGTTGCATTACAGGGATTTATTTTCCTTGCAGTGATTATTCTGGTTAGAGATTCATGAGTAACAGCCTCAGGGTAGAAGCTGTTCCTCAGTCTAGTGGTTCTACACTTAATGCTCCTCAACCTCCTTCCTGAGGGGAGTGGGGCAAAAAGTGTGTATGTGCTGGGTGAGTGAGGTCCTTCATGATGCAGGTAGCCCTTTTCCTGCATCTAGAAGTGTAGATGTCTGTGATGGTGGGGAGACTGACTCCAACAGACTTCTGTGCAGCCTTCACCACTCTCTGCAAAGCTTTTCTTTCTGCAGCTGTGCAGCCTCCATGCCACATGTTGATGCTGGAGCACAGGATGCTCTCCACTGCACACCTGCAGAAGGAGGTGAGGACTGAGCTTCACAGACCAGCTCGTCTCAGCTGTCTGAGGAAGTAGAGACTCTTGATCAGGCTGGTGGTGTTGTTGCTCCAGCTGAGGTTGTTGTTCAGGTGCACACCCAAGTACTTGTAGCTGGAGACCAATTCCGTCACAGATCCTCCTATGTTTTTCGGGGGGGAGGAATAGGTGTTTTCTCCGTTTGAAATCCACGACCATCTTTTTCACATTGATGTGAAGGTTGTACTTTCTTCTCCAGGTCTTCCACCTTCTGCCTGTAGATGAACCCATTGTTGTTTGTGACACATCCTACCACCACTGTATCATCTGAAAACTTTACAATATGGCAGCCTGGATGCCGGACAGACCTGGTAGACCCAAACATGTAGTGAGGGTTTGCTAGGAATGCCTGGCAGAAGAACCCATCAGAAAGATCTTCAACTCGCACCTCCGGGAGATCTTTAACCGCATCCCAGCTGAGGCGGGGGACATTGGCTCCGAGTGGGCCATGCTCCATGCCTCAATTGTTGAGATGTGGACACAAAAATGTCGGTGCTTCTCGTGGTGGCCATCCTTGAGCTCAGTGGTGGACACCCCGCGTTAGGGAGGCTGTCAAGCTGAAGGAGTCCTATTGGGCCTTGTTGGCTAATGGGACTCCAGAGGCAGCTGAGGAGAAGCGGAGGGTCAAGTGGTCCACAGCCTTGACTGTTGCTGAGGCAAAAGCTCAGAATTGGAAGGAGTTTGGTGAGGCCTTGGTTAAAGACTCTGGGGTCAGATCAGAGGGATTCTGGCAAACCATCAGACAGCGGAGGAGGGTAAAACAGCACTTTACTAACACTGTGTTCAGTGAAGGTGGGGTGCTGTTGACCTCAACCAGTGATATCGTCAGGAGGTGGAAGGAATAATTCTTGGACCTTCTCAATCCCACTGGCATGTCTTCCATGGAGGAAGCTGAGACGGGGGACATCAGGGTTGGTCTTTCCATAACTGTGGCTGAGGTCATTGAGGTAGTTGAAAAGCTGCGTGGCGGCAGGGTATGTGCATACAGGAATCATTCTAAAAAGCCATCAAAATCAATCGGTAAGGATATATGTGTTACGTACACAGTAGAAGCAGAGCATGGACTCAATGATACTAGGATACTAGCATTAATACATGTACATGTCAACATCTCAGAAACAATATTTTAATCAGCAGATCAGGCTTCAAATTCATTGAATTTTACCGGTCTGGAAAATGTGGTATGTGGGGGACTTTGTAATGTATAAAGTGCATAAATGATCCTTAAAGCTGCACAAACATCTCACGTTTTAAAAGGATCACATTCAGACAGGTATTGCACCTCGGTTTAAAACAGGTCCCAGACCACAAGGTGCACTGACTCTGTGCCCTCGTTCCCTGTGAGGAGCGTCAGCTCCTCCACACGGCTGCAGACTTAGGGACAGACTGAGGGCGAGGAGGAAGGAGGGGTCCAAGAGATAGTTACTTACACGTTTGTTAACCAAGATGTTCAAATGCACCCTCATATTCTGAACGTAAAATGACAACAATAGGATTTAGCACGTTTTTGACCATTTATTACATGAAGTACGTGTCTGACATTCACCACTGGATCAAAGATAAATTACACTTTTCCTGACCGGCCTGTCCTCTTTTTGTGAAACCAACAGTGCAGCAAAATGCTTCTCTTCCTGTTTCTTCACCTGAGACACAAAACCACCAGCTCCCAGAAGCACTCGGAGTCGGAACATGGTAGATATTTCATGTAAACTGCATGAAGCATACTGCACTGGTTGGTCACAGTTTGAAGCTTTATTTTCTAAATGAAGTGTATTACAGCACTTACATGTGGGTAAACTGTGCCAGGGCAGTCTGAGCTACAGAACTAACTTTGTAACTTTGCATAAGACTTTGTGAGTTTAACAGATGCTCTAAAACTTTATTCATGCTAATACATTGACAAATCTGGGCCTCAAAGATTTATAGCTCAAACCCAAATAAGTGATGTTATTAATAGCTCATTACGTTATCCATGTCATAATATCTGAAGTTATGTTATCTTTAAATGTAAATTAAACCTGACACTGAAGCTTTTCTCTGTTGATTCTTTACTCCACATGTCTGTGTTTGATTTGATTATTTGAGTTTGAGTGCTGAAGCTTCTACGGTTCAAAAGAACTGAACTGCTCATGCACGACAGTCAACTTCTCAGTTTCTCCTCATCAGTATCTGACCTGCTGCAGTTGGTATCTTTGGTGATTAGAAAGTCATTCTGAGTGTTTCCTACCTGTTCCATCCAGAGCCACAGACTTCTGCTGCCGATCCTCTGATCTCAGTGTGCGCACATGCCTAATGAAACATTTAAAAAATAAATAAAGTTCTGTAAATACCATGTTAACAATAAGAAACAAAAACCCACCGGTCAGTCAGTGCCTTTCTGCTTAGCATGGTGTTAGGACGAGGCGGCTGTGGTGTTGTAAATTTGAGAGGCAGGAGGGGTCTCGGCCTATTGGGGGAGCCCGGAGCTGAACCCTGGGGAGAAAGAACAACAGTAAAGTTTATTTTCTGCAGTTTGAATCTGAAACAAGTCACTGGTGTTCTGACGCTGATGGGTTATGTTTATGTTCCACATTCTGACATTTGTCTGTGCGTTTCCTGCCAGACTGAAGGAGTCCATCTGTTCCTGCATCTCTCGCTCCTCGTCAGCCTTCTTCAGAGCAAACTCCACTTCAGCTGCCAGCTGCTCATCTCCAGAGAACAGCTGCTGCACCTCGTTACGGTAGTCCTGCATTGTCACCTGACGGAGTACATGAAGTGCATGAGCTTTGACTTTAGAAACAGAAGTGGAAATTAATGACATGGTGCATCATCATGTCTTGATCTTTGATGACAATTTTACTTCATTTTAAAACATGAAAAGAATTAGATTTTTTTTCATTTGTCCTGATACAATAAACTAGTTATAACACAATGTCCTTGTGTTTATTTTTATTTAGGTTAAGTTGCACCTTAAATTATCTAATGAAAATAGAAAAAGCAGTCTTTAGAAGAGCACTCTGGTCTCACCTGGAGGTAGCTCATGAGGTCTCGGAGGACGGGGGATCGTTTCTGCTCCAGTAGGCTCTTCAGGCTGATGATTACAGGAACTGTGTTTTCTATAAACGCCTTCCTCTGGACCTGTGGATCAGAACAGGAGGGTGAGGCTCATCTCATCTCAAATTAATCCTAAATTACACAAAGTTATTCATTTTCTCAACATATAACAAGTTCCAAATAACAAGGAATTGCTTGTTGGACTCCAGGAAATCTGTAAAGAACAAGTAATAGAGTGCTTTATGAAAATAAAAATAAATAAAAATAAAAGCTGTCTTAGTTTAGGCTGTGTGTATCGTTTGGTTCAGCCTTGTGCAGGAACTAAAGGGTAGATTGCAGCAGCCGGCTCAGTCATAGGAATGGCAGGAAGTAAAGGTAAAGATCAGAGTTGGAGGATATGCAGCAGCTGCTCTGACGAATCATTTTGGATTTTTGTGTTTCTACATAAATAAAAAAAGAAGTGGATCAAACTGCAGCCCTGTAGTTTGCTCACAGGTTGTTCATTCAACTTGATGGCTCATTTACGGAGACGTCACCCCAGAATGTTTATTAATAAAGCAAGACGGAGTCTGGTAGGAAAGAACATTTTTAATCCATGCCACTGTTTGAACTTATGCTTGACTCTGTTTGTATTGTTCGCCTATAATTTGGTCATAAAAACAGTGAAGTTAGTCATTTTGTTTGCAACGTATCAGGGGTCAGAACTTTGAGCCATTTTCCACTAATTTTCTCAATTTTGAAGGAATGGGTCATATAAAAGGATGAGTCATTTATAAACAAATACAAAATGTTTAAAAGCTTAAATTGTAGATTATCTATTCAAAAATGTGCACGTTAGGCTGCCTTCAGGCCTTTGCCTCCCTTATAAATAAGATCTCAGTGAGATTTGAATGGTTAAATGAAAGTAAAAAAGATAAAAATCAATAACATCTATTACTGATATATTGTATTCTTCTAGTGTTTAGAAAACAGAAAAAAAGGGTGAACCTATCGGGCAGCTGTCACCAAACCATGGATTTGTGAATCGTTTAATCTTTTCAGAGCACAACTCTGGACCCAATTAGTTTTTAGTAATAAGTGAGATGCAAACAGAAAATGTGACTTTGTTTCCACGGTTTGTAAAAGTCATGTGATCAGAACCACTCACCTGTGACACCACCTTCTTCTGTGCAGCCTGCATGACGGCTTTGGTCATGGCAGCCATGTTTTCCTCCTCTGGTTCCTCTCCACCTGCGCCCCCTGCTGTAGCTGAAATTGCCTGCAGCTTTATCTCCTTGAGACTCAAGATTTTGAAGGTCTCTGACAGTATTTCAGCACCATCTGAATCCAGAGGCAGCTCCTCGTCTGCAAAGCATGCTGGGAAAGGAACAAAGGAAAGAAAAAATGAAGATTTTCTTTAGACCAGTGCAACTCGCATTCAAACTTCAAGAAGGTCAAAAACTTTTGTAGACCACACATGTGCTCACCTAAGACGGTCTGGTTGATCCTTTTTGTGATGTTGAACCGCTGCGTGTCTGTAAAGTGCTCCAGCAGGAAACAATAAATCCGAAAGCGCTTGTCACGATGCTGAGCTCCTTTCAGGGAGAACCGAATCTTTTCTCTGAATATATTTTACACAGACAGAATTACTCAGCTTTGGATGCAATTCATTGTCCTCGTCATCAAAAGACACTCGCACTGTAGCTTCTCAGCTGAAACAACTGCTACCTCTCACTCTGAGGAAACTTGTTGTACGACTTGTGTTTGCTGTAGGAGTTGAAGTGGAAGATGCTCTCAATGAAGTGCTGGCTGAACATTTCTGGGTTCTTCTTGAGCAACACATGGAGCAGACAGTATTCACACAAGCTGGAAGAGGAAGCACAGGAGTTTGTTTTAATAAATTGACTCAATCAGTGATCATCATTAAGAAATGGTCATATTCTTAGGGTCTGCACGATGGAGTGAATGGTTAGTAGTGTTCTCCCATTGTATGTGTGGGGTTTACTTGGGTATTCTAGTTTCCTTCCACAATCCAAAACACGTGTTAGCTCAACTGGAGACTCTGAACTGTGAGTGAATGACTGTTCATCTGTATCTCTGTGACCTGTTAGAGGTCTACCCCGACTCATCTGACTGCTTGAGTTAGGAATCACTGCTGTAGATGAACATATGCTGTATATATTCATAAATTAAACGGATTCTTTCATTTTTCTGGACTGTATAATGTACGTGCATTGAATAATTAAAAATGTGGACGTGAGACGTTAATTATCTTTGACTCACCAACGACAGTGGGTCATTTATTAACAGAATCAAGTTTAACACATCACACATTTACATTAATTGGCAAAAATTGAAAATAACAACAGCTTATTTAGCAAGTTTTACGAGGAGTAAACAATACGGCGATTGTTTTCTCACTTCCAGCAGTACAACAGACATTAACCACACGGTGGTGGTTGAAAAACTTTGCTTCAGACATTTTTAAAAATATCTGGATTAATTTCTTAGCAGATAGAAGAGTTTAAAGATTGAAGTTTAGAGGGAGGGAGATGGTGTGTGTGTGATTGAAAAGTGTTGAACAGAACGGCACCCTCCATTCGACCCAGCTTTCCTCGGTACGCTCGGTAGTCAACTCGACTCATTACCTCTCTGACGATGAATCAGTGGAAGCGGAGCTCCAGTTACGCTACCGGTCCAGCGTCTCCGTAGGATGGCAGAGAACCGTCCGGAGTGGTGGCGGGACTTCGTCAACAACAGTTCACCTCACGAGTGGACTTCACATGAGTGGAGTCCGTCAGAGTTCCACTCAGAGGTGGAAGATGTCATAATCCCCAATACTCGGAAGAGCTTTGAATCATGGCTGGACTTCTGTTCTCCCAAACGACTGGAGCTGCAAACTCTCCACCCGACTCCAACTCCGACTCCGACTGGAGGTGGAACCTCTTGCAGAACTCCTGAACTAGGAAGTGTTGCACCTTTTAAAAAGAGCTCACTTCCGGTTCATTTGAGAACTTTCTGATTGGTCGATGGACCAAAACAGAGGTGTGTTTTGTGATGTAAGGTGTTATGAAAAGTCAAGGAAAAATATTAAGATTGTTTAAGAACAGACAGAAGATTGTTATGAAGAACTCAGACTTCGTGGAGTCACTTCTCTAGTATCTTGCTGTAAAAGTTAAACATGACATTTCTTTTTCAGTAAACTTGCAGTTGACCGAAACTTGAACTTTGACCAACTTACACCACTTGCTCATTTCAAACAGACGATCAATAAATTGAATCATTACTCTGTAACATATTCCAACTTGATTTCACTTTGAATGAGGATTAAAAATCGTTATTACTGTTTCACAGTTGATTTAAAAATGAGTAGTTCACTTCAACATTTAAACATTGTTTGAACTAACACAATTTGATTATCAAACATTTGTAAAATAGTAATGATAATCGAAAGTAGTCTTCTTTCACTTGATTAATTCAAGAAAGAAAGTCTCAGGATGGGTCAACCTGTATTTCTGGATTCAAATCAATGAAATGACAGTTTCTGTCCCATAAGGTGCCTAAGGTCAAGGTTGCACCTCAGGCCTAGTTCACTACAGTCCCCCCTTTGGAAATCATCGCCTGTCCATGGGGATGAATTCCAACATGAACTTACGCCTTCGAATGTCCTTGAGCTTGATGTAATCCAGCAAGGAAAACCAAAGTCAAAAGTAATCCAGCAAGGAAAACCAAAGTCAAAAGTAATCCAGCAAGGAAAACAAAACTCAAAGGTAATTCCACAATGTTCTTGGTAATTCCATTGTGTTGATGATAATTCCATAATGTTGTTGGTAATTCCATTGTAGCAATGCTTTAACCCTTTAGAAACAGAGTCTGTAATCCATTGGAAAAAGTCATATAATCCACAACGGTAAATCCACAACGATTGGAAGTGTTGATTGATCAGCATACAGAGGGGTTCCCTTGGATTGAACTGAAGATGCGGCCACTGGATGAAGAGTGGAGACCAACGTCAGGATTGCAGGTCTCCTCCAGCGAAGGTCGTCTCTGGGCGACGTCCAGTCTGTGCCGTTCTGGTTCAATGTGTCATGCAATTATGTGGTTTAAGGTGGGCTTATGAAGGGGATTTTACATAAGGCCTTAAACTATATGCACCTGGTGTGTACGCTATTATGATTGGGAACAGCTACAGCTACCAGTTAAGGGATGGAACATGCTGAAAAGGGTAACTATAGGGATTTATACGTACAGAAGAGTGTTCCAAACTATTTTTCCATTCCTAACTTGGTTTAAGTTAGCTTTACATGGCAAAATATAGTTTGGTTCAATTGTCTGTTGTCTTTTAGACGAACGACTTTAGACTGGGTGTTTGGTTTCCCCATAAATGTTTTTGGAAGTCTATGGCGAGACTCATCAAAAAGAATTAGCTATCCCCCCGAATAGAATTGTTCGAGTAGGTTTGGCTTAAGCGTTGCGAGATCAATGTAGATTATGGTACTTAAGGTAGCATTAATCTACATTGACTCCGCAAAGATGGCATTTTAACGAATGAACTGCATGTTGGCATAGTTAAAGGCCTCTTAGTCTCTAACTTAACTACACACAAAATTCATTCTTTCTTCAGAAACAATACCAAAACCAATTAAACAACGTTTCAACATCGACAAGAGTAGTGACTAAGCATCTAGAAACATCGTTTCACTGCTTCTTCTCACCCTGGTTGCCAGATTTGCTCACGTTATCGCGTCTGGTAGCATTACCCTAACTGGCGTCACCCCCCTTCGGTCATGGGAGACCGCGAACACGGGTGAGGACGTCGCTCCATGAGCTAAAGTTAGGCTGTCCTTGAGTAGTTTTAACTGTTTGTGCAGCTGAAAGAGGACTTTAAGGTCTGGATTGGAATCCAGTTCGACTTTCGATGGAGTGTATTTGTCTGGGTCAGTCAGATACAGTATCATCGATTTAATTGCAGGATCATCAAACTTTTGAAGTTGGGTGATGTCTGGGTCAGTTGAAAATGACTTCATATTTTAAAAGAACTTGGCGAAGTTTGTCTCTTTCTTCATCAGATGTCAGAGTGTCGGCTTGGGCGACCACCTGTTCAATCTGTGATGAGACTGATGAGGGTTCTTGCTCCTTGTGGAGCTCCAACGAATCCTTTTCTGAGTCGTCGGACCTGTCTATGGGTAAGACACCATAGGTTTGAGGCCCTTGGTCACGTCATTGGTTGAGAAAAGAGCTATGGCCTGTGTTGGTTTCGTTAACCATACTGGCCCAGTTTCTTGACTCGGTACCAGGTTATCTGGGAGTCCTCCCAGAACTGGAATGCCTAGTTCAAAATCATGAAAATCAGATTCTGAGTGTTCAGCTTGCGATGACTCATCATCGTTTGTGTGTGTTTACCCCCCCCTTCGTCCGATGAGGGGTTGTTGGAGGCAACGACAGCAATGTCTTGGTGTGTTTCACCGACATCTGTAATGTTGTCATTCGCGCCTTCAGATTTAGTAGCGATCACATCACTACATTGTGCTTCAGGTTGGTTTCCCATTTCAGCGTGTATCAAAGTTTCTAACAACCTGCGTATTTTCTCTGTCTCTTCCGAGCTCAGAGGTGTAGGGCCTTGTTTCCGGAACCTTTGTGATTTTATCGCCTCGGTTCGTTTCGTCCGAGGTGGGGGAGGGTTAGGTACGTCTTTTGGGGGTTCCTTTTCGGACTTCCCCTGATAATATGGGTCCTCTTGAATCCCATATCTTTGCGTCCTACGCATATCCCATTTACGATAATCACGTCCATCCTCTGAAAGAGGAGCTTTTCTGTCCCAACGTGCACCTTCATTACGCGGTTTGTTAGTTTGAAAATACTGCTTTTTCTCGCCTGTTTTAGGAGGTGGAGGGGATGCACTCCATCCTTCCATTTCTAGGTAGAGGGGTTTAACCTTTACACCAGGAAACACTTCTATGGGCGTCTTAGCATGAGAACATGCCTCAAACACATTCACAGCACACTGTTTAATCTCATTGATGGATTTTTCTCTGAAATTTGCCATCATTTGTACTGATCTTTTAAAATCAGTGTGGAGATTTTTGCTGAAAACAAATTTAAAACCTTCTTCTTCTTCCATTCCGGTTTCATTTCTGTTACCAAAATAAGCTTAGAAGATTCTCTTGTAATAAACATTTGGATGTTCATTTGTAGTGGACTAGGCCTATGTCAAAACTGAGTCTTAGGTCAAAACTCTTGACCTTTAGAACCTTGTGGGACAGGAACTGTCATTTCATTCATTTGAACTCAGAAATACAGGTTCACCCATCCTGAGACTTTCTTTCTTGAAGATTCAAGTGAAAAGAACACTCTCTTTTTATTATCATTACTAT